TTGTTCAGCATCGATCCCGCGGAGCCTGGCATTTAACGGCCTGCATTAGGACGGAGGGAAGGGAGAAAACATTTTGTCAATACTTCTAGTAATTGAGGGTGAAGCGCCGAGATGAGCTGGACCTGGAGCAAATGTCTGTCGGGTAAGTTCATTTCCTCTGGCGTCGGGAGCGTTTGATAACTCTAGCGCGATGCGTTCTCCGTCACCCACTGAGCTCGTTTCAAGTAAATGTTTGATTAAATGTGTTTTTTGTGTCATTTTTATGCGCGTGCTGCGGGATGACTGGGGTTGGGCATGTGTTAGAGAGTGATGTTGGCTCAATATGAAGCAGCAGGAGGAGAAAAGGGGCCTTTTTTGTTTAGAAAATCATGAAACACCAGTTTAGAGTCACGGTTTACTCATTCTGACGAAACATAAAAAGTGTTGGTACAACCAAAATATTTACAGACAGTTTGCTTGGTTTTGCATGTTGGTGAAACAACCCCAAAATAAAATAAAAATAAAATAAATGCAGTCAGGAGTCCATCACGGCCAAAAATAATGATACTAACATTAAAAAATGGTGGAAATGGCGCGCCACGACACGTGGAGAGAACGTGAGTTCTCTGCCCCAGAGAAATCAAAAGTCACTGATATTTTTTGGTGTATTCAGAAGTTGACATGAATGAAAGCAGAACCACTGAACAGCCATTTAAAAACGGTCAGTCCTCGTGTTTGTGTTCCCGTACCGAGGCTTGGCAGCTCTGTCCTCCGGCAGAGAGGCTCTCTGTCCTCTGTCTCTGACCTCTCCAGCATCCGGACACAAACGTGGGCTACGTTGGAAAGTCCTGCAAAAGCTGAGGTCCGTATCAGGGCCTTCCCAGCCAGTCTATCTCTGCATCGAGTCCTGGTGTGGGGAGGAGTACCAGTGAGAGTAGCCGGGCATGTAGCTGTTGGTCGGCATGTTTACTCCTTTGGAAGAGGCCGAGACGTCCCAGATGGGAGGGATGGAGGGGGAGCGCGGGGACAGGGACATGGAGCCCGGGATGGGGTCGCTCTCATGGGGGTTGTTGCCTTGCTTCAGCAGCTTCTTGAACTTTGACCTCTTATTTTGGAACCAAATCTTTACCTGTGCGGTAGAAGAGGGAAAACGTGGGTAAGTTTGGTGTTAAACTGCACAATGTGCACATTTTAATACCGGAGACCAAAAGGATGCGTGATACCTGTGTTTGCGTGAGTCCCAGAGATGCCGCTAGCTCTGCGCGCTCAGGTAACGCAAGGTACTGCGTTTGCTGGAAACGATGGTTCAATGCTTGGAGCTGCAAACTGGAATAAATCGTTCGCGGTTTGCGAATTTTCTTGCCTTTTCCGTTAAAACGAATCTCTCCGTTTTCTATGACCGTCGTTTTCTGCTGCTCTGCAACAAAAACAAACAATGTTATTAATTTCAAATAAAATCAAAAACCCATTTGAGACAGCGCCCGTCCTGCGCGCCTGCGTTTAGAACAGCACCGAGCTGCTGGGAGTGGGTCCGGTTTCCGAAGGAACGTGAAGATGAAAATTGCGGCTGCTAAACGCTGACATCTCTCTCTGGCTTCCTCGCGCCGTGGCAGCAGCCGCAGCCCTCATACGCTGTCATATTTAGGATATTGCTGGTAATGACATGTCAATTAAATGCTAATTACAACATTCAAGGCGCGCGGGTTGCCTAATTTCCACGAGTAGTTGTTAGGGATTGCATGGTCGAGACGAGAACACCCTGGGCATTTAGACGGGTTTCTGCAGAGCGGAGAGAGAAACCGAAGGAGAAAATACCAAAGAAGGCATGGATGTTACCGACCCAGCGACTTTTACGCACGCTCTCCTGAAAGGATCGTCCCGGAGCACCGACAGAGTTCATAAAGAGAGAGGAAACCGGCGCCAAAGCGGAATGGGTGGATATTTTCCACATTTCGGGGATAAAGGGGGGAGGTTTTCTTACCTGCGCCGTCTAACCTTGTCTGTCCTCCCGTGTTGTTGTGATAGGAAGGCAGGTACGGGCTGTGGTGCGGATGGCTCACGTAGGGGTACGGTAACGACCTGTTGTAGGTGTTGGTCCCAGGGTACGGGCTGCTTTCGTGCTGATGGTGCGCGTGCGAGCCGGAGTGGAGACAGTGCAGCGGGTAGTGGCCGCCGGCCATCGATGGGGAGCTCTGCTGTGAGTGTGACTGCTGTCCAAATTCCATGAAAGCAGACTTGGACGAGTCCTGAGCCTCCAGACCGTCAGCCATCGTTGTCATGGTCATCATCGAATTTTCTGCCTTGAGAGCACTCACCCCCCTCTCTCTCAAGACCAAATCGTTTTTTTTTCTCTCTCTCGCGCGCGCGCTGAGCTGTTGTCTCTCCCTCCTCTCCACCGCGAGAAGATACTGTCCTATTAACGCACGAATTTTCCAGTCGCGTCTTTATCTCCCCCCCCCACCGCCTCTCTTTTTTGTGCCGTGGTATTCTCACTCAAAGTGGCGGAAGGTAGGCACAAGTT